GGGACTCGATCCAGGGACTCCAGGATCATGACCTGAGCCGAAGGCAGTCGCTTAACCAACTGAGCCACCCAGGCGCCCTGAACCCAGATCTTTCTGACCACAGAACCGACACTCTTTGTGCTGCATTCATGTTCTTTTTTTTTTTTTTTTCACGAAATATCTTTTTAAAAGAAGCATTTGGAAGAGAGTTAAACAAATGTAAATTATATATAATTAATTACAATGATAATTGTCTCATTAAAAATCCCTATGAAGAATTTCAGCTTTGTAAGCTGCCTGCCATTTTTCTTATCCTGGATAAAGTGCTTTTCCAGAGCAGAAAGTGCTAAGTGCAGGACACTTAACTGTGACTTGTAAGCAAACTTTTATTCATTCATAGTTGGTTTTCCTCTGGGAGCTGTGTACGACTTCTCTCCCAAGTATGTAGATGGTTGCATCATGTTTCACATCGATGTTTAGAAAACCAGGTCTCTGTTTTCAGCATGAGACCGAACAGAATGAGCTGCAGACACCATGTCCCTGGAGAAGGCCTGCTGCCGGGGAATTGGGAGTCCTGGCGAAAGTGAGGTTCCTTAGACCCTTGCATTTTCTGAGGCCTAAGCAGCATCCCAGTACCCTTTAACACTGGTGCGTGATCCCTCCCATTCTTACCTCTTATGAGCAGAGGATCAAGCTGACTAGAATCTTCTATGAAACCCAAGCCTTGAAGGGTAGGAATAGGTTTTTCTCTTGAGAGAGCAAAGCTCTGAGGTCCTGCACTATTAATGTGCTGGTTGCCTATGAAATGGCCGAGTTTTGTCAGCATTGTGGCCCCGCCCCGCCCTGCCAGTGAAACAAGCCTTTGCCTGGCTCTTGTGCGGTAAGGGGAGGGTAACTTTGAGTCACGGTTGATAGGTTGTTTCAGGGTTCCTTTCCATTCCATAGTCTCCCTGTTTTTGAGAGCTAGTCATGAAGTATTTTGGAAAGATAGTCGTCAAGAAAAAAACCCTGATCACTGAGAATGATTTGGATGAGGGATTGCTTATATCAGACAGGGGATGCTGGTTGCTTTTTGTCAACCAGTCCCCTGTTCCCTCAGTTCCATTCCATGTTCAGGCCCTCCGCATGTTTCCAAGGGCCCACCATGGTTCTTTGAACCTGTAGAGTGTCCCTCACTGAGTTTTCTCAGCGCCCCCTTCTCTTCTTGTCTTCTCCGCTCTAGCCTCGCCTCCATAGTTCCTATGCTGCCCAGAATAGGAGAGGTGCAGGTGTGCAGACACTCCCCGGCAAATGCTAGATTTCCTTATTCCTCAGCTTGTTGTAGGAGCCCTTGAGTTTCTCTAAAATGGCCTGTCATGGGATGCCTGGGTGGCTCAGTTGTTAAGCATCTGCCTTCAGCTCAGGTCATGATCCCAGGGTCCTGGGATCGAGCCCCATATCGGGCTCCCTGCTCTGCGGGAAGCCTGCTTCTCCCACTCCCCTGCTTGTGTTCCCTCTCTCGCTGTCTCTTTGTCAAATAAATAAAATCTTTTTTTAAAAAAAAAGGCCTGTCAGTCTTGCTCATGCTGCTCTGAGCGTGACCACGCCCCTAACCAGGCCTCCTCCACTTCATTTTCTCATCAGGTTAGCTCCCTTTTCCAGACACTCCATTTTGGGTCATGATTCCACCATTTTTCCAGTGTTACAGGCCTCCAAAGAGACTAATTCACCAAGTTCTGTATGGCTTCTGATGGGTGTTTTGGATCTAGCCCCTTCTGTGTTTGCTCACTGCTGCCACAGTGGCCTCTCACCAGGCACGGGTTCCCTCCACGTTCCCCCCACCGGGTTCCCCCTCACCGGGTTCCTCTGGCACCACAGTAGTCTGCAGCCTTTCTTAGAGACCATTTTTATTGAGTCACTCCTCT